TACGCAAGATCATGGGCAAGATCTTAGGAACAAAAATATCTTCACATCCTGTACCAAAGATCTTGCCAAGATCTTTTCGAAAAAATCTAAGATGTCAAGATCTTGGTTCCAAGATGTTCGACTAGGGTTCTTTTCACGATGTTCGACTATTTTGCTAAAAAGAACAAAAATCAATCGTCCAAATCGAATTAAATGAAGAAGATAGTTATATACCTCACGTTGTTGTCTCTTCTCAGCTTTTGCTTGTATCTTCATTTGTATTTTTTTCAATTTTTCCATTTAGTTCAACCATATCGTCCAAAAAATTCGATCCTTGGTTATTGTCATTAAAAGTATTTAAATTAAAGAATTATTATCAAAATTCTTGTTAAACGTAGATTGAGTGTGCTGTACTGAGTTCTATCCTTGTTGAAACTTTTGTATTCTGAACGGTTAACTGCTCTTTAACTTTTGTGTGAATTATCTGCTTCGTTTACTTTCAAAAACTAGTGTAAATCTTACAATTCATTTTTAACATTATTTCCATTATTTTTAGTATCCCAAAAACAACTTGACCTCGTTCTCATCGACAGCATTATCGAGTGGTCCTTCAACACAAATTGGTCGTACACCCTTAAAAGCAAAACAACCATATGTTGTTTCTACCCCAAATCATCGTACTGGATTTTGTTCTACCGTAAAACGAGTAAGATATTATGTAAAAATGGATTAAGATTAGATATAAAATCGAAATGATTGTTTAATTTTATGTTACTTCTTTTCGTTTGAAATTATTTTTATTTACAAACGCTTTAGTAACTCCGTGTCACCTTTTTCCATGGGAAACGATTAAAAATCAATATATACAAAAGTAAAATGTAAAAATGATGAAATATACATGGTAAAAAGATAACAAAAACTAATAAAGCAGAAAATAATAACATCTTTAGGTACAACTTTAGCACCCATTCTATTGCTCATACATGTGCGTAAGAAATATAATTTTTATCATGTACTGTTTATCATTTTTTTATTTTTGTGCTGTTCAATATATTAAATTTTAATTACTTTAATGGTTTTCTATTGAAAAAGCGACGCTGTGTCATTGAAAAGTTTTGCAGATAATATTAATCAAATACGAAAAAAGACAAGAAAACCTAAACGAAACAAATAAGCTTATGAAATATCACATCAACAGCCGTAAGTGACAAATCAAAAAAATTAGTTATTATTTTTGTTATGTATCATTGTTTCTCTTTTTTCAATGGTATATTTTTCATTTATCAGCGAAACTGTCGTCATTGCTTTCTTAAGAGATTTCGTTTTATATTTCTTGATTTGGCAGTTTTGATAAAAAAAATAAATTTGCCTGAAAGTTTAGTTCTCGGCAAACATTCTGATAAGTTTCCACTTCCATTTTTTATATAAAAAATAACATCCCTCTGATGATCAGTAGGGGAACAAATCTGTAATCTGAATGATTAAACGTTAATGACATGAATGTCGAATTTGAGGGTAAAAGTTTTGAAATTACGGTTATCATAGAATATTGCTTTGACAAAAAAACGTTTCTTTTATTATCAGGTAAAATACCGAGGTTCGTAGCGATGTTCCGAATTTATAGTTTCTCACCCATACAACTAAGGCTAATTCAAAACTAAAACAACAAGTTTATTTTTTGCCTACATCTACTAATTGCTCTTCCAAAAACTCGAAGATTTTAACGACGTTTATGGCATAAGTCCGATAGTATTTCACTGAGTTATCGTAACATACGTGCTTATTATTTTTACTCCTGTAAACACACAATAAAACCTTGTCAGCATGACAAATCAGAGAAACTATTGACATGTAAACCTTTCTCACTTTTTTTATTTTCTACAGAAAAAGTACACGTTTCAATCAAATATGAAAAAGAAAAAATTCTATACAAGAAAAATATCGAGTGGGTACAACGATCATCAAGGAATGCAATTTTTACGCTTAGAAACAAAAGATACGTTTTATTAAGTTTTTTTCTTATGGATAAAATAAATGCATAAGATTAATGTTGAACTTTCACCAAACTTTTTTGTTTTACCCAATTCCAAATAAGCTAAAACAAACATCAATATCTTTATACTTATAAATAGATAAAATAATAAGTTAAACATACTTTAATTAATTGGCTTCTTTTCTTTCTTGTATTTTCTAACTTTTCTTCGATTTCTTCCATTTTTTTGTACAGTTTCTTCCAATTGTGCTTCAAGCATTTTTTCTAGAAAAACGAAAAGAAAATGGTTGTCGCGGCTTTTTAGAGACGTCTACGGCGGACTTTTTACAAGACGGTCTGATGACCACTGTGGAAAAACCGAATGCCATAACGTCACCTACTAGAATATTCTAAGATAAAATAATTATCGTACCTTGTTTAATCTCTTCAAATTCTTCTATCGATTTAACTAATTCTTTTTCAAAATTTGTATTCCTCTCTTTATCGTCTTTCCATTTTACAATGTATAAACCACTGACACCTTTTTGAACGCTATCCATTTCTGGTTCATCGAAGACTAATTTATCATCACTAAACAACAAAAATGAACCGCTGAACGTACAAAAGAGAAAGAAAAGAGAATCGAATGCGTATTCTTACACGTTTTTTAATTTTCTAGTGTCTTCTTCCATTTCCGTTTCATCTGAATCGTCAAATTTTGAAAACTTTAATGACCCTTTATCTGGTTCGGAACTGCAAAAAAAATATTAAAAGTAAATTTGAAAACAGTTCGCTAACTATTTTATCTACCTAATAAAAACCATCGTTTCATTTTTTAAATATGCGTTCAAATGTTGGTCGCCAATAATGCCAACTTCCGAACGTACATTGTTTTTTTCATCTGTAAAAATTTTTACGTCGTCCATTCCATCAATCTTTTCTAACAGTTTCAAGACAGAATTTGAATTACCAGCCGGCATATTTTGAACTAGTGCCTATATTAAAAGCAAACTGTCGTCAATTGTCCGAGTGTCATATTGAAAAAAAGTAAAGTAAAAGAATTACCTTTGTATAGTAAGGATCAACCTTTTTGGATCTACAACATAGACAAGAAAGAAATGTGAACAAGTTCAAAAGACTTGAAAACAGAAAGTTCTTTGGATTTTTAAGCACAAAGGTAGAGCACGTAATCGCTTAAAAACGCTTTACCAATAGAAAACTGCTTGTCTTAGTGTCCTTTGACGGCTTAGATAACTATTCTGTCTAACGTTTCCGACAATGGGAAAAAAAGAAGTTTCTATACGTTCGTCGTTATTCAAAAGCAATTTTTCTCTCTTGCGTTCAATTCGTCCCTTTCTAATTACAGACCGAAAGAGAAAAAGAAATCGATAATTAGACTATATATGCCGCATCTCCTATACGACCAACTCTCCAGCAAGATGAAGGCCAGAGCGGTAGCCATAGTGAATTGTGAATAAGGCTCATTAGCGCTCTTTTTTCTAATAATTAGCTATTTTTTTTGACTTTAATACGATGTGGAATGCGCAAGCTTGTTCTACGCAATCGTTGGCTACAGTTCAAAAAAGTAAAAAGTTTACTTGTTCAAGTTAGAGAACTCAAAGTGAAATACTATCGGACTTATGCCATAAACGTCGTTACAATCTTCCAGTTTTTTGAAGAGCAATTAGTACCAAGGTCCAGTTTTACACACTGCCGTAAACGACTGTATACAGTCGCATCTGACCGCCGTAAATCACCGTTTGCGTTCGGCAGTAAACGGCCGTATACGATGGAAATACGGCAGTAAACGGTCGTAACTACACCGTAAATACGCCGGCCGTTTTACGGTCGTAACTGCGCCGTGACAGTTTACGGTCGTAAACGGTCAGTTTAGAAAAAATTATTTTTCGTTTCCAGCATCTTCTACAGAAGATGTATGTATATAGAGCTTCAGGACGTCACCCATGCGTTGTATCGTCTTGAATATCACTTACCACTCACATACATACAATTATAATTGTGTGCTAGGATTGAGATTCGAATACACGTACCTAGAATTATAAATCCAGCACATTCTGGTTATACCATATTGCTTGTAAACAAAAGTGTGAATTTGCTATTCATGTTTGCAATAAATACCATGAATTTCTACGCGTGGGTTCCCTGTATGAAAATACCTTACCACAGCTTCCGTCAAACTTCCATATATAGTATAGTAATCATAGTTTGCTGAAGTAGAAATAAATTGTAAGGTGCCGCCGAGACATTGGCCACCAACTGGGCGTTCTTTTGCCGTTTTGAGAACGTTAACGCGCCGTTTTTTTGGATCTGGATAGTTGATCAAAAGAACAATTTGATACCATTTTGATTATTTAACGAATACTTGTTCATATCGGAAAACTTATAAGAATACATTTTGCGATGGAATTCCCAGGAACACAGGTCACCGAAAATTCACCGTATACGGCAGTGGTAAACCACCGTATTTCGTCGTAATACAACCACCGTATACGGCTGATGTATATTGCCGTACGTGGCCGTATACGGTCATGTACGACGGTATCTACTGGGCCTGGGTAACAAAAAACGTGCATACGATTTCTTGAAGTTCTAGGTATGCACTATCCTCCAGTTTTATCTAATAGATCACATCCTAAATATTACTCGTTTCCGCAATAATTTTGCACGTAGGTGGCCGAAATTAAGCATACCAAATATTATTTGGCGCGTTTTAACAAACAGGTCAATTCAATGACATAAGTCTTTACAACGATATCGATAGGTAACGCTGATCTCATTTATCCAAATATTTCGATGTCCGTCTCCATTCAGTTCTGGATATTTCAAATGAATATTTCACACTTTTTTTCTTTCACATAACTATTCGACAAGATATCTTGATCCGATTTCAGCTGGAACTTCGAAACACCGATATACGTCCCTTATTTCACAAAATGAGGAAATCGTGAAGGATTATAGATGTACGCTGGTGATTTATTTCTAATGATGAATGCGGTATTACATTTAGATGTTTGCTGCACAAATCA